TTTTTTTTTTTTTTTTTTTTACTTGTTTACTATTCATTACAGTGACTACTAAGAAAACAAATGACTTCAGGTTCAGGGAATACCTTATTTTGGCGTCAGGCAGACAATGATGCTCTGCCTGAAGAGTACAGTCCGGTCCAGACCGCGAAACAAGAAAGCCATGATTTCTGAGTGCACGCCACGAACTTTGCCGGTGGCTTTCTGCATCTGTACCTCGACTGCAGCCACTTAAGTAAAGGACCCAAAACACTGCCAAAGAAGCTTTCGTTCTTTATTAAATTCTCTTAGGCGTTACCAGTATTATTCAAGTTTAAGACAGGGCAAATCTTATGAAGTATTTAAGGGTTCTCTTCTTATAAATAAATTTATAAAGAAAACATCCACTAATTCATCTCTACTTTTTCTAACCCGCTCAATCTTCTAGAGTCGAAAAGAACAATTCTGGTGCACTAAAACCAGAGCCGAGGCTTTTCAATACCGTCAATTAAAATACTTTCAATTTAACTGAGCGGCTGGTGTCGTTCAATAATTTTAACTGTTACACAGCAGGATGTGCTTGTCACCCCTGGTCTTCTTCAGCCTCAACACACATTCAGAGTCCACTCTCCACGTAGAAGAAAACTACTACTGAACTTACTGCATGTATTTGATCACGTAATTTGAAGCCTTTTGTGCTCAATCCGGGCAGTGCTATTACTGCATATCTTAGATGACCACCCTAGGCACTTCAAAGACCCAAACGCCTTTCTTCCTTCTACACACTCTTCCGCAGAAAGAGCTGTCAAGAAAGTTGTTTAAAACCCAAAAATGCATAGCGATTGATGCTTCATTTCTACTTGTCCTCCTCATGATGGAAAATCTGGTCAGTCCTTAACTTGGCCTGAGAACGGCTCTGATAGCAATGCCAAATATTCCACTGCACAAACGGAACGCCTAAACTGGTAGCAGGCAGGAGAGGATGACACTTCTAAATGCTTTCTGTTATTCTGGAAACACTAGCATCTTCCTTTCAGTGAGCTCCAAAAAACCGTGGATGACGTCACCATTTTAAACCGTTTCAACAGCAAAAATTACACGGCGAGTATTCTTAGCACTACCTGAAAACCAGGAGGGGGAGGAGGGTGCCAACAAGGTTTACAGGACTTGCCCCAAACTGTAAATCTAAAACCTGACCGTTGGGATAGCTGCCAAAACCTGAAATTGCTTACTCTAAAAAACATTACCAAATCAGCTGGTCTTCCTTTTTAGATCCAAGGTTTTCTCTTTTTTCCAGACAAAGCACAGCATTTGTCTCTCAGAACATACCAGTCAGGGTATTGCTAATTAACTTGACTGGGTGGCTTTGTAGTCTCAGACCAGCCGGTCTAGCTGGCTGCTAGGAAAAAGGTTTCATAGCCTAAAAATATATTATATGAAGTGTTAGTTCAAGATGTGTGTGAAAACGATCTTTAAATTGCTGCAAGAGCAGAATGTTAAGGCAACATCAGAAAACAGAGGTGTTGTAAGACACTAAGCCCTACTCCCCACCTGGCAAAGAGAGCCAAATGATAAGATGTGACTCAATCCCTTAATACAAAAACGTCCCGAGATAATCTGAGCTTGACTTTGCAATTTTCTCTTTTATATTTTGATGGCAGTGAGAGAGACCCTGGGGCTGTAACTCCCTTGCAAAAAAATGTCAACATATGATTTACTCACGAGGCTTAAAATAACGAAAGAAAATATAAAATAAGTTGTCCTTTGCTTGGCAACCATCCTTTTTAATTACTCATTTTTATCCGGTATCCAGGCTACACACACCTGGGTATGGATGGCTAATTTGGATATAGAAAACACCAAGGATCACTTCTGGAAGAAACACAAGACCATAAACTTCTCAATCAGTACATCAACAGCATCAGGGTGAGCAAGAAAAGGACTTTACCAAGAGACTGACATTTACACTTTCTGACAGAACTGAAATACACTGAATTACAGAGCAAATTCACTGAAACGACAAAGAAAGTCTGTCCTTGAAAAGGCTATTGTTTCACCCCCAGAAAAAAGCGTTTCCATTTGGATACTTCCACCACACAACCAACCGGTTAAGAAAATAAAGCGCGGTGTTTAGCAACGGGGCAAGGCTAACTACCCGAGAGGCAAGGGGTCCACCCCCACCGGCGACCGCTGAGGTCAGCAGGGCCCGGCGCCAGCGGAGCCTCCGGCTTCACTTCTCGGCACACGCCGCGGCCGTCTCCTTGTTGAAGCCCCGGATGGAGAGATCGTAGACCACCTCCTCCACCTTCTTCACGTCATACTTCAAGCCGTCGTAGCGCTTCCTCAGGGAGTCGTTTTTCAGGTTGAGAAGGCGGAAGCCCGAATCCAGCTCGTTGATGAAGGTGGAGATGTGGAGCGGCCGGGAGTAGTCTCCGGCGGTCACGCTGTTGACGGACAGCCTCGACTACACGAGGGAAGGGAAACCGAGACACCTTACAACAGGCCTCGTGAGCACGTCTTCCTCCGCATCACAACCAAGAGACCCCCAAGGCCCCCAACTTTCCCACGCTGCCTTTCCGAATTACATGTTGACCACCGCTTAACATTACGAAGTTACTTCAAGACTTAAGAGATCGTTCCCTTTCTGTTGGGGGTTTCTGTGGTCTACAAGTTTCCATCCATGCGAATCAAGACTAGTGGGAACACCTTTATGACAGCCTTTTTTTCTTCTTTAGAATTATCTCCATAGGACAATTTCTCAAGAGACAGATGAAGAGAATAAAAGAAAAATAACCTATATACAGTTAAATTAGTCCCCGAAGCAAGTATACGTATTGACACAGTTACTAGGAATGTGTGTGTCTTGCCACCACTTTGAAAGGGAGAGGCATTACCATCTTTTAAAAATTCACACATTTGGGGCGCCTGGGTGGCTCAGTCGGTTAAGCGTCCAACTTCAGCTCAGGTCACAATCTCACGGTCCGTTAGTTCGAGCCCCGCGTCGGGCTCTGGGCTGATGGCTCAGAGCCTGAAGCCTGCTTCCGATTCTGTGTCTCCCTCTCTCTCTGCCCCTCCCCCGTTCATGCTCTGTCTCTCACTGTCTCAAAAATAAAAAAAACGTTAAAAAAAAAAAATTTTTTTTTTTAAAAATTCACACATTAGTCAGTATGCACAGGCCGCTCATCGTATGAACTGGCCTTTCTCTGATGACTAGCAAAGCAGCACACACAGCACATGATGACAAACTGGTGACAGATAGAGGGCTTAGAAAAGACTTCCTGAATTTTTGTGCCCATTTTAAAAACTGACAGCGAGGTGGGAAGATCAAAAACGCAAATGGCAAATTACTAAGCTTCTTACCAATTCACTGGCAAGAATTAGAACTCCCGAGAGATAATCTTCCACATCCAGATGAAAGCCTTTCTCCCGATCTGGCTCAACTAAAAAATACACCAAAGTAAAAATAAGGTCATGATGTGAACAGAATGTGAGCCTAAGAATATAAAATACTATATATACACACACATACATATACACGCACACACATATTGTTTCTCTCAAAGGAAAAAAAGATCTTTTAAAACTATATGATGTGCTCATACTTTTGGCAACTAGGCCTCATTGTGGATTTTTGAGCTCTTAAGACTTCAATTTTTCCTTTCATTCTTCTCTCAGAAAGTACTATCACCCAGAACGTTATCTAGTTATATCAGAGAATACCTATGTTTTTGGACAAAGCATGTCGCAGCATTTAAAGGAGAAGCCATGACACCCTTAAGTGACATTCACATGGTTCACACGGGCACACGAATGCATGAATGCACATACACGTGCACAAAGTGAGAAGACCTCACAAATGTGGCAAAATGTTGGGGAGCCTGGGTGGCTCATTCGGTTGAACATCTGACTCTTAATTTCAGCTCAGGTCATGATCCCAGGGTTGTGGGATCGAGCCCCACATTGAGCATGGAGCCGGCTCAGAGTTCTCTCTCCCTCTACTCCCCACCCCCTTCACGCACACTAAAATAAAAATTAAAAATTAAAAATTAAAAATTGTGGGGGTGCCTGGGTGGCTCAGTCGGTTAAGCAACCAACTTCAGCTTGAGTCATGATCTCACGGATCATGAGTTCAAGCCCGTCAGGATCTGAGCTGTCAGCTTCAGATTCTGTGTCTCCCTCTCTCTCTGCCCCTCCCCAGCTTGCACTCTGTCTCTCTCAAAAATAAACAGTAAAAAAATAATAATAATAAAATAAAATAATTTTTTAAAGACATGGCAAAATGTTAACAAGCAGAAAATCTAAGCGGTCTTCACTGTACTATTCGTTCAACTTTCTGTAGGCTTGAATTTTTAAAAAAAAATTTTTTTTAATGTTTATTTATTTTTGAGACAGAGACAGAGCATGAACAGGGGAGGGTCAGAGAGAGAAGGAGGCACAGAATCTGAAACAGGCTCGAGGCTCCGAGCTGTCAGCACAGAGCCCGACGCAGGGCTCGAACTCACGGAGTGTGAGATCATGACCTGAGCCGAAGTCGGCCGCTTAACTGACTGAGCCACCCAGGCGCCCCTGTAGGCTTGAATTTTTAAAAACTAAATTTTAAAAACTAAAAGCAACACCCAAGTACAAAAAGCAAGCCACTACATGTTCTTACTTTTTGTGTTTCCAAGTCACTATTTTTCCATTTAGTTCTCGTATGTTCTAATAAGTAGGAAGTACAAGCAACAGCCTCCCCCACAACCAAAAATTAAGCGACCGTGCCTGATTGTGTAGACCGACGCTATAGGAGACACTTACTGCCAAGAATTTCTGTAACTGCTTCTCGAGTCACTAGTGTTTCTGATTCCAAGTACACAACAAATGCTGCCAAGAAGACCAAACGCTGCAACACAAACCTCCAGTGCTCATGAAATCTGCACGGATAGAAGCTCATTTAGGTGGAACGATTAGGGGCTTTATAAAAGATAAATTTAGTACGGTCGTAGTCAAACATTTTGGAAATACAATGCTTTTCCAAATCAAATCCATGTGAAACCCCAACATAAAAAACATGTAAAAACATGCCATTTAAGTATATTAGATGGATTTAATATAAGTTTTACAAGTTCACATTTATAGCAATTACTTATTAGAAGTTTAGTAGACAAACGAGAAGCATGATCCAACTTCAACGAATATAAAGATATTTACAATCGAAGATTATGGACAAGAACAACTGTGCTTGTGAAGTTTAATCAGTAAAAACAATGATACTGCTGAGAAAAATTAAAACTGGCGACGGCAGATTGATGAGAACTGCACTGTACATCAGCCTCAATACCTAACTTAATCTCACATTTTGAGTGTAGAATATTAAAAAAAAACCTTGATTTATACATATAATAACTACCATTTGGAATCACTAAACCGACACTTAAACCTTCAGGATCCTGCAGTTAAACTGAGCTAGAAGCCTGAAAAAAAAAAAAAATAGGAAATTTTATACCCCCAAATATTAATGCTATGCCTCCTGAATTTCAAATATGGCAAATTCAAAAAAAATTTTCAATACAATACAGGTCAAATAAAACCCTCTAAGGGCCAAATCACCCAGAGGTCAGCCTCTGTGTGACCTCCAAACTACCCGATCTCTCAAGATCCTGCCAATCCTATCGTTCAAGGTCTCTCTACATCCGTTATTACCTTACAGCAGGGTCAGCAAACTTTTTCTGCGAAGGGCCAGATAGTAACATTCTAGGCCTTGTGAGCCACATTCAGTCTCTGTCACATATTCTTATCTGGGTGTTTTTCTTTTTTTAACAACCCTTTAAAATATAAGCAATTCTCAGCTTCCAGAGGCGGCGGGCCACAGGCAGTGTGCCAACCCCTGCCTTAAATTATTCTGTGGAGCTGTATTACCCACTTCCCACATACATGTCTTGTTTTGTGCCCACGTGTGTCTTAACAGAACATCTTTTTCAGTAGAAAAGAGACACAAGTAGAGATTTTAGGTTCTTATTCACTGTATTTCATCAATACTCAGATGCAGTTCTTTCCAATTTAACATCTGTGAGGCTGGGATGCTTTTTACAATCTATAAATTTCACAATTATGACTGGCAGCAAATTTTCTTCCCTAAATAATGGAGACTCTTAAAAATTAACGGTGCTATAGGTCAACAAGTTACAGAATATTAGCTAAAATGTTATTTGGCAGTATAATTCAAACTTTGAGGAAAAACTCAACTCCATTTATATAGTGCCCTCTAATCCCATAACCTTAATAGCATAGACATGGTTAGGGGCGCCTGGGTGGCGCAGTCGGTTAAGCATCCGACTTCAGCCAGGTCACGATCTCGCGGTCTGTGAGTTCGAGCCCCGCGTCCGGCTCTGGGCTGATGGCTCAGAGCCTGGAGCCTGTTTCCGATTCTGTGTCTCCCTCTCTCTCTGCCCCTCCCCCGTTCATGCTCTGTCTCTCTCTGTCCCAAAAATAAAATAAATAAATGTTGAAAAAAAAAATTAAAAAAAAAAAAAAAATAGCATAGACATGGTTCACCCAATTTCACAAGCAACTTAAATATACTAAAAAGATACTCTATTTGACCTTAATACAACAAATATTTTTTAATTCCTTTTTCATTGTAAAAATTATGTTTTCCTTAGGAAAATTCTCAAAGGAGGGGAAAAAAATCCCCATCTCTGTCACCATTAAAATACCACCACTAGTAATAGTCTGACTCTTTTTCCTTGTTTCTTCTACATAGAGAGGTTTTTACTTCGTTCTCAGCAATCATTCAGTACATATAATTTTTGTCCTGCCTTTATTTTTACTTGACATTACAAAATAATACGACTTTTCTTACAAACCTGTAATACTGTTCAGCAGGGAACTTGGTCTTCAACGATGTTAGATGTGTTTTCACTGTACCAAAATGTTCTCGAGCTTTCAAACACCTCTTTGGAACTGATCACAAAAAGATAATCAAACACAATAATGAGTAAGATTTACCAAATTTCAAATACAGTTCTGGCTTAATAATCTACAGTCTCTCTGGAAATAAATCAACTCTGAAAAAAAAAAAAAATCTCATGACTAAATGCAGGGTATGCATCTCTACTTTCCAATCTGGCTCTCAAAATTCCAACTCTAGTTTCCCTACTCATTAACCAACACTGAAAAATAGACAAAAACTTGCTGAAAGGGAATAATATTTAGCAAACAAGTCAGTAAGCTGTCATAAATAATGTCATCCTTGGGGTGCCTGGGTGGCTCAGTTAGTTAAGCGTCCAACTCTTGGTTTCTGCTCGGTTCATGACCTAGCAGTTCGTGGGTTCGAGCCATGCATCAGACTGTGCACTGACAATGCAGAGCCCGCTTGGGGTTCTCTCTCTCCTTCTCTCTCTCTCTGCCCCCCCCCCCATCCCATATATCTCTAGCTCTCAAAATAAACTAACTTCAAAAAAAATTAAAAATATAATAATAATTGTGGGGCCATGCACCAGCTGCTATTCCAAAAGGATGCCTAAAATTGGACAGCTTCTAGCTCCCACATTTGGTCAAAAAGCTTTATCAATAATACTCAGACTGACCGACTCCATATCACTGAGAAAAAAGACTTTCCTGTGACACCTGTAAGTTACACCATTTTATCATTCTCTACCTGAAAATATATTTCAGCTCTTTTAGTTATGCTGGCTACATCCTACATTGAAGGTCCCATGTTTAAACTTATCATATGATTTCCATGAAAGGTGGTGACTATAAACCCATTAGGAACCTTTTACACTGAACATTTCTTACATACAAATGCATATTAAACCATATTCAATGAATCAAAGACTGTGTTTATTTCTCTTTTAATGTTTATTTTGAGAGAGAGAGCAAGCAAGCAGGGGCAGAGAGAGAATCCCAAGCAGGCTTCATGCCATCAGTGCAGTCGGACACGGGGCTCAATCTCACTCTCTTGGACTGTGAGATCATGACCTGAGCTGAAATCAAGAGTCAGACACTTAACTGACTGAGCCACCCAGGTGCCCCACGAAAGATTGGGTTTAAAAACAAGAGAGCCATATAAAAGATACACAAGAGAACTACAAACCTACAACAATTATCACATTAGAATCACATTACTACATTACTACGTGGAAGTGGAAAATCAACCGTAACACACAGAATTCCAGAATTCTGTAAACCTATAAAACACTCAACTCACCTACTTCTCCATAGGATATGAGGGACATTTTTCTTAATAAAATGATAACAGACTTGAAATGTCTTCTGAATGGAAATTAACTCTTTTAAGTGAAAGACTCATAATTTGGACTCTTAAAAAATATTCAAAATCAATGGGGCACCAGAGTGGCTCAGTCAGTTAGGTGTACGACTCTTGATTTCGGCTCAGGTCATGATCTCGTGTTCGTGGAATCAAGCCCCACGTCGGGCTCTGTGCTAGCAGTGCAGAGCCTACTTGGGATTCTCTCTCTCCCTCGTTCTCTGCCCCTCCCCTGCTCTCTTGCGCGCTCTCTCTCTCTCTCAAAAGAAATAAATAAACTTAAAAATCTTCAAAATCAAAACAAAGAACTTACTGTCCTGAAAACCAGCACCCTGATGGACCCCTTGCAGTAAAGTTAAAATCTCTCGAGCTGTTTGTTCTAAACTCTGTACAACTTTTCGGATTTCCTAGAAAGAATTAAAAATCAAAGTATCAGATAAACTCAATGTAACTATTTTCATAACCTCAAACCAGATATATCAGACAGCACAGGTTAAGTACCTATGACACCTTCACACACATTTAAAACTCCAACCATCTTTACTGAACTGAACTGGTACAGAAAATATCCAGGTTTGAATCCCAACGTTGCCACTTACTTCCTCTGTGAGACCTTCAAGAGGTCACTACAGGGCCTGAGATTTCTCATGCAGCCTTCAAAGGATAATCGCCACCCACCCCAAATATCCCACTGAAACACCATAAATATCAAAAGAAATGAAATATCTGAATGCAATTTGTAAAAAAGAAAAATGCAATGCAATACGAAGACTGGGTGCTTTTCAATCATTTTATGAATATTCACAGCACATTTATGTGAGAAGCACTGTGTAAATACTGGTTCCCAATTAGTCCCTTCCTTCTTGCCGTTTAGAGAATAGGGTAGACAGACGTTTAAAAAATACGGATCGCACAAAATATTCTAACGTGAATTCTCTACTAAAAAACATGACAGATTGTGAGGTCAAGAATATGAATACGAAGTAACCACCAGGAAAGGAGAGGAAAGATGCGAATTCCAGGAAAAGCATACAGTACATGCAAATATCCTGAGGCAAGAAACTCTCTGCGGAACTAGAAAAAAAAAAAAAAGATAACTAAACTGAACATAAAACACAACGGAAGATGGCGTAAAATGAGATGGAGGGAGGGGAGAAGACACCTGTGGGCTACAGTAGAATCTGGATTATTATTCTATGTGGAATAAGAAGCCATAAGAGAGTTTTAAAGAGAGGAGGCCACACGTGCTACAACAAACAGTGAAACGCGTGTTCTCTGAGTCCCAAGCGCTGAGCCTTCGACATAAACAAGCGCCAGAAAGCAGGAAGACTGACACTCAAACGAGGTGGGCGATGCCGAAGAGCCGAGACTCGAACACACAGAATCAGGACCGGAGAGCAGAATCGGGGGCGGGAGAGGAAGGTTCCCTAAGCTGATACAAGAGGGGAAGCAACCCATCCCCGGAGGCTTCCCCACTGCTCGAGACAGAGCGACAGAGGAGGGCCGGGCGCGGTGGCCAAGCAAGAAAGGAAAGGGAAAGGGGAGGGGAAGAGAGGAGGCTCGCCTCTCGGATGTCCTGCTCGGCAGCCAAAAAACCCTGCAGCTCCACGAAGATCTCGCTCACAGACATGGCGCCGGCTGCACAACAATCGACCAGAGCGGCGAGTGTGGCCGCCGAAAAGCGTTTCAGAGCCCACCGGCGCAGTCAGTCGCAACGCCAGCCGCCGCCGCCGCGTCCACCCGGCCCTACGCTACGGACGTCGCTGGGGTCCTCCGAGGTCCGCGGCGCGCAGGATCCTGGGCTGTCCGCCGTGCTGCCTGATGTGCCGCGGCGGGAGCGAGACGCGCGCTCAGGGGGCGGGGCGGGAAATGCTGGGCGGGGCTTTCATCTGGGGAACTTCGAACAGGCAACGCCGGAAACCTTAAGCTAAGCGGGGAGAAGGGTGCCCGGGGGCCAGTGGGCCTGAAGGGGCGGGGCGGGCTTGGAGGCTGAGCAAACAAGCGCAACGCTTAACGTTGTTTTTTGCTGTGGCGGATGGGAGGAGAAATGTTTCAATACTGAAGCATTTGCGTAAAAATACAGGTGCAGAAAAACGTAGAGAGAGTGCCATCTCCGTGTGGAAACATGCGTTCGTATTTGCAAAGAATACACGGGAAATAAAAGGGGGGGGGAGTACAGGATGGATTGCGAGGGAAAAATTTTAATTCCTTCCCTGTATGACTGTATAACTTATTTAAATTATATGGATCTTTAAAGCGTGTATGGTGGGAAATTTCTCTTCTACTCAACTAACACCTCCTTATCCCGATTCCCTTGAGGCAAGCGCCTTAAGGATTTCTTGACGTTGCAGAGTTATTCCATACATCTGTTCTACAAATAGAAATGTGTATGAATGCGTTGGGTCAACCTGAACATAAAAAGATACTATGAGAGCCAAACAAGTGTTTGAGATTTAAGAATTGCAATTCGGTGAGCACAGACTCCAGCAATAATCAAATAAGTGTCCCTCCTGCAGGGTGAAAGCAAGGGTTGGGGGGGCGGGTGGGAAGGCGGGGAGAACTACATGACTTTGATAAAAAAAAAAAAAAAAAAAAAAGATAATTTATACTAACAGGCTAAGGGCTAATACGCTTTTGGTTACACACTGATAACTATTCTGTTGACAAACGAAGCTATTCTTGATATATATTACTCTTATGATTGGGAAGAGTCTTATGATTGGGAAGCCTGTGGTCCTGTTGATTTTAGGAGCAATTGCTTGTGGAACAATGGCTTCTAGACCAGTCCTTTTGTCCAGTTCAAGGGTTAATTAGCCATTTGTTATAGAACGGGAAATGGAGCTTTTCTCGAAATAGGGTCTCTCGTGTCTAGAAATTTTATATTTATATACATAATTGTACACGATTCCACAGTAGAATGCACTCTCCAAATGATTTAAAATGATTACTTATTTCAACTAGATGGGGGTTGTTTGCTTTGTGTGAGAGGTTATTCTAAAACTTACAAGAAAGACATTGTAACTTCATTATACTTTTGTAAAGTGGATATTAATGTTACCTTATAAATGAAATAACTATAGTAACAGATTAATTGACTTGCCTAAGGTCGTATGCAGCTGGTAAATGTTGAAGCTGGAATCCAAATGCTTTGTCTTAATTTCTATGTTATTTTTCGTCTATGTACCATTTAACAATAATATTTGCAAGAGGATTCAAATGCCTTATCTAACTTGACCCCTACAACTTTAAAATGTGACAGGCTAGAAAAGCTGTTTTGACAAATTGCTCAAACCCAATATTTTTTTTTTTTTTAATTTTTTTTAATGTTTATTTATTTTTGAGACAGGGAGAGACAGAGCATGAACGGGGGAGGGTCAGAGAGAGAGGGAGACACAGAATCTGAAACAGGCTCCAGGCTCTGAGCTGTCAGCCCAGAGCCCGACGCAGGGCTTGAACTCACGGACCACGAGATCATGACCTGAGCCGAAGTCGGACGCTTAACCGACTGAGCCACCCAGGCGCCCCTATTTTTATTTTATTTTTATTTTATTACTATTTTTTGCCTGTGTTCCTCTGACATCAGATGCCATTTTGTGGTGTAACATAAGCAGTAGAATCTCCTAATTCACAAAAAAGAATGAAAATAGGAACAGAAGCTCATTTTTATTTAGACTTGGTACTTGCCAAACACGTTCTTAGCACCACCACTTTTTGTGTATTGACTGACTTCATATAAATCCGAAATCATTTTTCAAATCCTGCAACATTTCTCTCTATTCCCACTCAAAATAAAGATCATGAGTTTTGAAACTAGCAGACATAAGAGTCTGCCAAATCTCTTTTTTTTCTAAAAATCTAAATGATTTAAGCATCCCCTAAGGGTGTCTTTTCTCAATTGTCAGATCAGCATTCAATAACACCTGTCTCTAAAAGTTTGGAGAACTATAAATGTGCACAAGAGTACTTTCTGTCCCTGTGAATTTGACTCTTCTAGGTACCTCAAAGAAGTGGAATCATATGGTATTGTCTTTTTGTAACTGGCTTATTACACATAGGATAATGATCTCAGAGTTCATCTGTGTTGTACCATGTGTCAGAATTTCATTCCTTCTTGAGGCTGAATAATATTCTATTTTATGTGTGTACCACATGTTATTTATCCGTTCATCCTTCAATAGAAATTTTGGTTGTTTCCTCCTTTTGGCTGTTGTGAAGAATGCCGTTATGAGCATAGCTATGCAAGTATCACTTGAAGTTCCTGTTTTCAATGGTTTGAGGTATATAATGTTAACCTGAGAAATAAAACAGACAGTTATTTTACCAGGAAAAGGTGTTGTTTGTTGGGGAATAACAGAGAATTGCAATTCAGGTCAAACAAACTGTGGCAAAATTATAGCCAAGTGGGGGAGGGGGGGACAAACGGGAGGAATCCTCTTGTAGAGAGGGCAGTGGGAAGTTGGGAGGCTGTTATAAACAAAAAGTTCATGGATGTAAACTGGGAGTTCCAAATGTAGTGATTTTTCATTGGCTGGCCTGTGACTGTTTCTCCGTTGGCTGGGCTATTGCTGGGGCCAGGGAGGAGGAAAGCCTTTCTTCTTCCTGCTGGGGGAGTAAGGTGGTATCCGAGGGGGAAGTCAGTCTCTTTCCACTGGAAGGGCAATTGACCACAGTAGTGGGACCCGGAAGCTTTCCCAGCCAAAGTTCCCAACCCTATTTTAGTGAGGTTTCCCTTTCGCCCATCCCCCCACAGCTCAAATGGAAACATCATGAGATTATAACTCTTAGGATAGTGTTTTATAGATGTACATTATAGAGATGATCTTACTTATTTCTACATAGGGAAAGCGGAGTGTGCTCCTGAAGGGGCTGAATTACCGATCACCTGACCCTCCTCAGAACTTTTCTCAGTGTCTGTCAAACACTCAATAGACACGCGGTGAGTGAATCTGCTTTACCAAATTGCCCTGCCGTGTCGTTGTGACAATCACACTCTGTTTTAATGTGTAAATATCTTCTAAGTGCTACAATCTGATCAGGGAGTAAGGGAGCCTCCCTTAAATTTGTAATGTGTGTTTAAACTTTTCTTGGGGCGCCTGGGTGGCTCAGTCGGTTAACCGGCCGACTTCGGCTCAGGTCATGATCTCACGGTCCGTGAGTTCGAGCCCCGCGTCGGGCTCTGTGCTGACAGCTCGGAGCCTGGAGTCTGTTTCAGATTCTGTGTCTCCCTCTCTCTGACCCTCCCCCGTTCATGCTCTGTCTCTCTCTGTCTCAAAAATAAATAAACGTTAAAAAAAAAAAAAACGTTTCTTATTATATTGACATTTCTTTGGGACATTCCCGATTTATGTGTTTTACACATATTTCTATTAAAGTTTTCATTGGGGGGGGGCGCCTGGGTGCCCCCAACTGACCTCAGTCAGTTGAGCGTCTGACTTTGGCTCAGGTCATGATCTCGAAGTTCATGAGTTTGAGCCCCACATCAGACTCACTGCCATCAGTACCAGAAGCTATCAGCACGGAGCCCACTTTGGATCCTCTGTCCCCCTCTCTCTTGGTCCCTCCCCCACTTGTGCACACACTCTCTCTCAAAAATAAATTAAAAAACAAAGTTTTCACTTTTGTCTTACTCATTTCTAATAAATTTTGTCACTTAAAATTAATATTTCTCACTTTTTTTAATGTTTATTTATCGGTGAAGGAGAGAGACAGCATGAATGGGGAAGAGCAGAGAGAGGGAGACACAGGATCCAAAGCAGGCTCCAGGCTCTGAGCTATCAGCACAGAGCCCAACACAGAGTCTCGAACTGTGAGATCATAACCTGAGCTGAAGTTGGACGCTTTGCCGAGTGAGCCACGCAGGTGCCCCAATATTTCTCACTTTTATGTAATTTTTGAAATAATCTTTTAAATGGAGACAGTGTTAATGTGGTTTTATTTGTGGAACAAAGATGCCATATTCATTAACTCAGTCTTTTATCAAAGGCTGTTTTGTTTGGTTCCAGTTTTTCCCATTATAAATAGCATTGTGATAAACGTCTTTGTAAGCCCTTCTCAAGATTGCAAATCATTTTTAATAGGTCCTATTTTTAAAATTCTTGATATATTTTGCCAAATCACTATCCAGAGAGATTAAACTAATTTCCACTCCCCTGCCCACCACAGCCTGAAAAAGCCAACTTGGCTACACTCTTCCCAGCGCGAATATTAACACCGCAAACATTCCAGGCTAATTTCAGGGTGAAATTATACCTCTCTTAATAGCATGGAAAACTATGTAACTGGTGATGCGCTTCTGCAAGGCTCTTTGAAGGGCAAAAGAGTAGAAACCGAAGACAGTTTGGGTGTCATTGCCTGCAGTCAGAGAGCAGGGAGAAGGGGTTAGGGAATCAGCGAAAGAGGGAGAATAGGAGACAGGACTCAGGTTCTGTCTCATTTGTACCCATGGGATTTTATAATAGATAACGGAGTGACAACATGGAGAGGTCCGTGTCATTGAAAGAAGAATGTATCACATTTCCCAAGAGGACAGGGCATCCCATGCCCTGCAGGGGACCGCATGGGGAAGCTCCAGGTTTGGTCTGGAGGCAGAAGCAGGACTGAGGGAAAACCTGAACCAGATGCCTTTACTGGGGTTTCTGCAGGAAAGGCAAGGCAGGGCAAGGTAACTAGCCTAGGACTGGCCAGCCTGAATAATCCTCATGGGCTCTACGCTGGTATCTGGTCATGGCATGATTTAAGACCAGGGAAATCTTGACTTGCCATAAGAGTTGGGTAAGGAAGTGGCATAAGAAAGACATACCCCAGGGGCTCCTGGGTGTCTCAGTCAGTTGAGCGTCCAACTGGGGCTTAGGTCGTGATCTCGCAGTTTGTGGGTTTGAGCCCCCTGCTATCAGTGCAGAGTCTGCTTCGGATCCTCTGTCTCCCTCTCTCTCTGCCCCTCCCCTGCACTCTCCCCCTCTTTCTCTCTCTCTCAAAAATAAATAAACATTAAAAAATAAATAAAAAGTAGTGTCCCTACTGCACCAGAGGGCACAGACTCCCCCAAGAGATCGACCTTCACAATCATGTCACCCAAACTCTTCCTTATGGATGAAAAAGCTGGGGATTTCCCCCAGCACAGGGCACAGGGGTTAACGGTTCCCAGGCTCTCTGAACAGGATGCCACATCAACTCCTGTGACCACCTGTCCAGGTCCCAGAGTGACCCTTGGGTCCTGGGCAGCAGAGGCACAGCCCAACGAGATGTTACCCAACAGGGCCAGGGTGAACATCACCAGCGGTCGCTGTTAACGGAGAGTGACTGACAAAGGTTTGGAAGGGGAAAAAAAAAAAGCCGGTGAAGTCTGGGCTGCGGTGAGAACCTGGGGTCAGAAATCCAAATTCGAGATATTGGCACGGCCATTGTCTCTCTGAAGACTATAGGAGAGAGTCCTTCTTTACCTCTCCTAGCTTCTGCTGGTTGCCAGGCATCTTTCACATTCCTCGGCTTGCAAACACATCACTCCACTCTCTGCCTCTGTTATCAAGTGGCATTGTGTGTGTGTGCATGTGTGTGTGTGTCCAAATTTCTCTCTTTATGTAAAGACACTAGCTATTGGAATAGGGCCCATCCTACTCCAGCATGACCTCGTCTTGATTACACCTGCAAGGGCTCTGTTTCCATCACATGTACGGTGGCAGGGGGGAGACTTAAATTTATCTTGGGGAGGACACATTTCACTCAGTACAGTGATCAATCCCCAAATCTCTGCTCCTGTTACCCAAAGTGAGATCTATGGAGCATATGAATTGCCTGGTGGGCGAAGGGGGTTTGTTTCTAAGCAGATTCTGATTCATAGGTCTGGGATGGGGCCCCAGATTCTGTGTTTCTACTGTACAGGCTTACTGTCCGCTCTTCCCACACATACACCTGGGCGCCAGCCAAACTTGGCCATCCCGGGTGCCAGAACACCTGCCACCACGATCCCCCGCACCAGCTCTGTTTGGACTGCTGCTGTCGCCTCCACTCCACTCCACACCCTACTTTCCCTGTGTTAAAGAACAAAATCCAGGGGCACCTGTCTGGCTCAGTTGGTAGAGCATCCAACTCTTGATCTCAGAAACTCTTGATCTTAGAAAACTACTAGCCCCCAACGCAGTCACTTATGTTAAGGACCCATGTGAGTAAATGAAGACTTAATACTTAACTGGACTATAGTTCACACCCCACCCCCACCCCCGTAAACTTTAATCTGCCAAACTGGAGGTCATTCTGATAGATCCCTTCCCTCTGCCTTAGGAGGGTGACAGGTGACAATGCATTATTTTCTAATAATTCCCCTCCCATCCCCTTTGCCTTTAAAACCTTTCCTTTTCTGCAGCTCCATGGAGTTCCTTTCTACTTGGTAGATAGGATGCCGCCTGGTTCATGAGTCATTTAATAAAGCGATTTAGATCTTCAAATTTACTTGGTTGTGTTTTATTTGTTTTTAAAGATTTTATTTTTAAGGAATCTACACCCAACGTGGGGCTCGAACCTCTCTTTGAAATTGGCTGGCCGCAAAGTAGACGGGAACAAGTTAGCGTCTGCCATTTTAGACAGGTGGCCGGAAAGAGAGCAAGGCCAAGCGGGGCCCGGCCAGCAGTGGGCGCCCGTGTTCGCTCGGGCCCCTCCCGGCTCCGCCCCATCCCGCGCTTTATGCCCCGCCCCCCGCGCCTCGCCGCGCAGGTCTCCTGCCTCCACTTCCGCTTTGGAGGACCTGAGGGCTCGGCGTTTCCGGGGCCGCCGCGTGGAGCTCTTCGGCTTGGAAGCTGTCGCCATGGCGGTCTTTGCAGGCCCGGCTAAGCCGTTCCTGTCGCTGAACCCGCAGGAGGAGGCCAAGTTTCAGAAGGAGGTGGCGCAGTCTCGCCGGCGCGCAACCCAGGTGAGCAGCCACCGCGGGCCGAACTGAGAGGGGAGGCGGCAAGCCGGGTCTGGGGGTCTCCGGGACAGCGCGGAAGCCCGTGCGGTTCCCTGCCCCCGCGCTCCTCGCCTTCCTCGCGCCAGCGTCTCTCGGGGTGGCCCGCCGGCCTTAACGAGCTTGGAGGCCAAGGCCTCCCCGAGACCGGAAGGGGTATGCCGATCGAGAGATGGAGTTTGGCCGTGTAGGCCTTAGGGTTCTCCTATGGAAATACGCGGGAGGTAATCAGGGTGATGCCAGGGGAGAGAGCCAGCTGTTGGGAATGGAATCAACCCCAGCTTAGAGCTGTCACGCCTCCGCCTTGCCCCCGAATTTGAGAGTTTTGTTTGCCCAGTTGGTGATTTTGGAGTTCTTAAAAGACAGTGTTTGCCGAGTTTCATTGGCTGACTAGGGCCCTTGACATCAAGTTGTATTTGCCTTGGTTTTTAAGCATAAAACACACATTTGGCAAAATTGAAAGTTCTTGCTTATAGAAAGCAAGGGCATGACTGAGGTGCTAGAAGGTTGTTCGGGATCGTGAAAGTCAGTGTCTTCAAATTGTTCAGTTCAGTGGGTGTGAGTAAACGGTGAACTGCAAGCAAAATTGAAGGGTATGTTTGTGTGGAGTTTGGCCAGAAGATTTAAAACGATGTGTGCAAATATTGCTTATCCATCGATTCAGCATATACTTACTGAACGTTTACAGGGCGCTGGGTGCTGCGATACTGGAGGCTAAGACTACCTACCACTAGACCGCTGCCCTCTTGGGGAGGTAGATGTTAAACACCAAAGTTTTTAATCACTACTTTGTCATTGGAAATGCAGGGCAAGTCTTTTGTCTTGGACTGAAAGCCAGCAGTCTTGAAGTTGTGTTGCAATGTGATTTTTTTTAATTAAAAGTTTTGTTTACCTGGTCTTTACGTCTTCAGCGAAAGGAGAAAGAGAAACTTACTCCTGGAGTAATCTATGTGGGCCACTTACCTCCAGCACTTTACGAAACCCAGATCCGAGCATATTTCTCCCAGTTTGGCACTGTTACGAGATTCAGACTGTCCAGAAGTAAACGGGTAAGATTAGATCGTTTTATATCTTACAAGTAAGTAAGTTATGACACTTTACAGTGCACGTTCATATACTATTGTTTATCCCAGTTCATATCAGAAAGGGGAGGGTAAGATTTAGAACCTGCAACAGTCAAAGGCACAATCAGTATTAATGTAAATGTTTGTTTTGCTATTTTTTTAAATTGCTCGAAATCCTCAATTTAAATTGATAATCCTGATAAGTGAATCCTATTTATTCTATGGTTACTAGGCCACGGGTACATGAACTTCAGTTTGAAGAGCAAGTATGAATATCTTTTTTAAACAGAGCTTTTTTTTTTTTAATTTTTTTTTTTTTA